GAGAGTGAGACAGAACAAAAGAACAAAACAGGAGAGTTAATGCAGAAGCAAGAATGGGGAAGAGGAGAGACACTAAAAGGCACAAAGAAGCGCACATATGGATAAGAGCTGGAGACGGAGTGTGGGGAAAACTTTCAAGGCAAAAGCCATTTTTCTTCTCCAGAGAAGGTCATTTAATCAAATGTGACAAGTCATCATGGTGGAGGATGTTTTTATTTTGTGTTGCAGAGTTGGATGCATCTGGTATGTGTTTTCTTTAGAGAACAGAGGCAATATAGGGACAGAAATATCATAAAATATTTGAAACTAAATTGTAGTTTAACCTAATCTCATAATAAAGTTGGATGAAGGAATTTGCTCTATACAGACACAGATGGCATGGAATACTTGAAGGAAGAGTGAAAGCTAAACTGACAGATGCTTTGACATAACAGTTTATTTTCTCTTGGGGCAGCGTGGGACATTATTTTACATTTCCTTCCTATGCTCAGCATGTCTGCAACTTCTCTGTATTTTTTTTAAAATTGTGTTTTACTGTCAGATCATTGGCTTATAAAAATACAGACTTGTCTCCCATCTGTGACAGCATTGCTTAAATTAAAACCAATCTAAAAGAATGATCACAATAATTTTCCCAGAATAATAAAAAAAGATGGAATAATAGCCTTTAGTGGGTAAATGAGTCATATTAGTGCATCACTTACAAAATAACCAGAGAAGTTTGGCACAAAATGTTGGACAACATGATGAAATATTCCCTATTAAGTAACCAATCATGTTTCCTTTTTCTTGTTTTATTTAAATGAGGTAGTATATTTAGTAATTTTGAAGATAGAATGAAAATGAGCAAACTGCTATAATCTGGGACAAAACATTTCATCTCTTTGAGAGATTCATGTTCTTGACATGACAACTAAACCAGTAAACTAAGGTAGACGCCTCCAAGAGACATAGCAGGGGAAATAAAGATTACAATAGAAATGCACAACACCTCCTTAGATATATTGAAGGCGCTATATATATTTAAGTTATTAGTATTATTATTTATTACTAAAACAGAAATGTTTAAAGGTTTTCTATCATGCTATTTTTAGGCATATATTATGGGTCTCAGATATAAAAAACATTTCTATGATTTGTTTTGCTCAAAATACCAAACAGATTACCCATTCTAGCCATGCCTGATATCCCTCTATTTCAGCCCCGTTAGAGAAGTGCTGATCCTGAGTCATTAGCTCTAAAAAAAAATAAGAGGAGGGGGAGCTAATGCCTGCTCAGAATTCTACCGAGATTCTCAGCTAAATGCTGCCGTGAAGGCGTCAAGGATTATTTCTGAAACAGTATGGAGCTCAAATACTTTTTCTCTTGCGGTTTACCACAAGGTGAGTTCCTTTTTTTTATTTCCTGCTTCTTCACACATACTCTCTCCAGTACAGGTTAGCTCTGAGTGTTAGCGGTGCTTGCTAATGTAAACAAAGACCATGGCCCTTTCTCATTTATCTAACTCCCCTCCTCGACTCCTATCCTCGAGACTCAGTCCCGCCCACAGGAGATGCGAGCGGAGGAGCCGAGGAGGGGAACCGAGTAGAGAGGAGGGGAAGCAGCAGGCGGTTAGAGAAATGAGAACTCCTCTCCTCTGAGCGGTCATTTTAAAGAGACGTCCATTAATGATGACAGGAGGCACAGCAGCCCTCTGTCTGATGGACAGATGTGTTCATGACGACTTATATATTTACTTTTAATTCATTCACAGTGCTGTATAATGAGACAATAACAGGCTACAGATGCGGACACACAAACACATATATGTATATATTTTTTAATATATACAATTTCAGAATCAGAGCACTCTCATAATAACGTAACACAATCAGAGAGTGGATATATCCCCCCCCCCTCTCTCTGGTCGCTACAATGAGGAAAATAAATTACGGGCCAAAAGTTTTATTTACAAGTATTAAAAGTAAGCAGAGGACACCAAACCAACTGCAACTGAGACCTGTCTGTCCGCGACATCTATGCCACACACTGTACCACACACACACACACACTGTACCACACACACGCACCTCCAGCTAAAAGCCGTTGTGTATTTTGATTATTTGAAGCACTAAAATGGTCTTAGAAAAATATCGAACTCTTTGTTTGTAGATATCTACTAAACTAAAGCAAATAAAGAGAGTAGTCGCTCACTGTAAAGCATCGCGTCGCGATGAAAGCAGTTAATAAAATAATATCCAGGGGATGCATGCAGAGCTGTCATTGGCTGAGATAAGTCCGGCCGTGCGTCACGACTCTTTGAAACATCTCTGTTCCCGGAAATGCATCTACGAAGGAGCCGTGGAGGACCCATCAGTGTATCCTCGGTTATAGCTCTTCCAGAGAGCCTCCTCGACGCTCGATCCTCGGTCCTCGAAGTGCATTTAGAGAAATGAGATGTCCTTCAACATGGCGCGCTGAAATTCATTTCCGGGTCACTACCGGATGGTCGAGGAGTCGAGGAGGGGGATTTGATTAAATGAGAAAGGGCCCATGTTACGTCCAAAAAACGTTGTGCATTGTTTCTGATAGGGCCGTGGGCGTAAAGCCAGCCCACATTACAGATATTACGTCATATCAGCAAATCTGGATCAGCTCCGTTGTTCACCCGTTTTTAGAGATTTGGGTACGGAGGAAAAGAGAGAGAGTTTTGTTTTCTAACACTTTGTGAGTTCCTGACACGCCGGGGACACATATTTATGTACAAAATACATCAAATAGTGCATTTTGCATGATAGGAGACCTTTAACATCTTGTTCAACGTCAAGTATTGGAGGAAAACCTTACCTTCTTTTTTTTAAAATTCTAATTGCTTTATTGGCAAATATCTTTATTGGCATGACCATAACGACTTACTGTATTGCCAATGCCAATTTATATTGCTGCATGTGTTACTGAATAATATAATTAGATGATGTATGAATTGATTTTACAAATCTATTCATACATCATGCTATTTTTCACTTTAGTACTGAAACAGGAAGTTTGTAATGCAATATCATATTGTGTTGGATTAATGAGCAAAATATCACTACATTGAACACATTGCCTTATCTGAAATTGAAATGTTTTCACTATAATTTTCTCATTTTTATCAGAAAGAAAACTCAGCTATAACTCAAGTAGCTTAACAGGCAACCATTTGAGTTATGTCAGTTTTCAAAGTTATCCTAAAATAGAATTTGTGTTTTGCATCGTTTTATTTTATGACCTAATTTCTATTCAATGAGAAACTAAATGAGAGCAGAATTTGATTTACATCTGCATGAACTACCTGTTATTCATGTGTCCTTCATCTTCATTCTCCACCGTCTCCACCTCCCTGCAGACAGCGGCCTTCTGCAGCGCTCCAGAACAGCCACAGTCTGGACCCCGCCTGTTGCTGCTGTGCATCATAACTTCAGCATTTAGCAGCAGCTCACTGCTAAAGGACATCCAAGGAACTCTTGTGGACATTGTAACGAGAACAACATAAGATTTATTGTCTGTTCAGCTCAGTCTGTTATTATGAACGTTGATTTCTTTATTCATCCCCTTAACTTCATATCAAAATCTCATTACTTCTGCCACCTGATAAATGGAAGATTTTCACAGTGCCTTTAGGATGCATTTATGTAAACTGCATCTAATATAGCAGTACATTAATTTCTAATTCCATTATGCCCTTTCCTAACATGCTTTTTTTTTCTTCAGGAAAAACATCAAACTAATGAGGCAAAACATTCTAATTCCAACCTTAGAAGAGAGCTTTTTGTATAAAAGCTTTGAAAAGGTTGTGGTGAAGGCATTTCAATGGAAAAGGTGAGCCCTGTGTTTAGATCTCATGATTCTCTAATAATCCTTTAATTATATCAGAGAGCATATCATCTCATTAAAGACAGAATACACCGTTAAATAACTGATCTGGGATCCGAGGTACGGCGTCAGATACAGAGGAGTCGTTGAGCTTGTGTCACAGTCACAGAGAGAAAACAACAGTAGTAAAGGGGCTCGGTGGAGAAACACCTGCCAGAGACCCCCAAAGCTTTACCCCAACCTTTAGAAAGCCACACCCACACACACACTCACACACTTTATAATAGAAGTCAACCCCTCACCCCTTAGAGACTCCAAAAGTCAAAAGGACAGCTGACTGACAGACAGCGGGGGATTAGTCACAACAAATCACATGCTTACACGCACACACACACAGCCTATCGTTCTCTCTCTCTCCGTCAGTCCCACACACACACACACACACACTCTCTGTCCATCTGACACACACTTTCTTCTTCTGATGTAGAATTAAGATAAGGTCTGTAATCACCTCGCTCCATCCCAAACCCAGATGGTGTCGTCCGTCCGTCCACACACACACACACACACACACACACACACACACACACACACACACACACACACACACACACACACACACACACACACACACACACACACACACACACACACAGTGTAGATGGCTGCATTGCTACCCCACCCGTACATACATAATTTAAATCTCAACACACACAGTGCAGACATCGTAGAGCACCCGTCTCCTCCAAGGCAGCATTAGCCTGGGAAAGTGAGAAGAAATGCACTCTAGTAATAAAGAAAACAGAGAAAGAAGTATATAAGTAGAAGGAACGAGGGACAGCGAGGGGATGAGGAGGAGGTAGAGATCCCTGCGTTTTCACTGAAAAGCTGCAGCACACCAAGGATTCATACTAAATCGCGACATGGAAAAAGAAAAGAGCAAAACAGAGAGAAAGATAGATTACGAGCAGAACATCTGGGACAGATATTTCCCCTCCGCTGCAGTCCCCCTCTCCTGGGCTCATTCACAAAATGTCGTCGTGACAACACGAGGGCCGCGCATCCATCAAAGACGTACAATGCTTGCTGTAATTAGCATAAAACACACTCGCACGCGGGAGAGACAGAGCCAGCAGAATATTTATGGAGAAAAAGTTCAACAACAGTTCCTGCATAGCTTCGTCTTTTATTACTTCTGATCAGACATTGTCACAAGTGTTGGTCTGGATGAACGCTCAACACGCTGATGGTTACATTATTAACATTACATGAAGAAGAAACAGATGTGCAGAAGTGTGGAGGGAAGTGCAATAGGAGCAGGAAAACAATGAATTGTGGACAACAACATAGACATTTATTATTATTTCCTATCAGTGCTGAAGTGGGAGGGGATTGATCCAAGTGGTGTGTAACAGAGGTGGTTTGCTTTCTTGTGATTGTTCCGGTTCATTTTACAGTCCTTCCAGCGGGAATAGCTCCGTCGCTGCTGTTTCTACTAAATGGAAGACAGTGTCAGTGCCTCCATACTTACTCACAGGAGAGATAGACAGAAGGTAAGAGAGGGGTAAGTGTCTATTTCTCTATCAGGGTGCTGTGTTCGGTGCCTGTGGTCTGGTTCGGTCCGGTTCTCCACAGGGTTTTTGAGGGTGCGTGTCTTGGTGCTGACTCATACCTCACTTCCTCCACTCCGGTTTGGTCTGTTTGACAGTCGGTCGATAATCATTAATCCCACACAATAAACTCTTCATTGCTTTCTGTGTCTCTCTCTCCGTCTTAGCCCCCTGTTCTTAACTTGTTCTGCAGAGAAAAACAGAAAGAAAAGAGCATTAGAGAGACATAAAAAAACATTTTAATAGACAAACCAACAGAAGAGAAGTATATTATGTCCCACTGGAGACACGAGACGGAGAGAGGGAGGCTTGAGAGTGCAGTAAAAGGGTGGAGGATTGAGTGAGTTGGAGAAGTGGAGAAAAGACCCGAGGGCAGTGGATTCCATGTTAGCGATAAGTGCAGCCACAAATCCCCAGCACTCCCTGTCAATAACCATTTGAACTGGCCTATTGCAGCTGGGGCCACTGCATGAAAAGTGCCTGAGAGGAAACTCTGGGAAAGAAAGAAAAGAAGGACCCGGAACGAGGGACGTGAGGAAGAGAGTAACCTGGACAGGAAGTGAGAAAGAGAAATGTCTTCTTCCTTACCGACCAACTTAATAGTGGCATGAGATAAATAACGTTTCATTTCTGTTTATTTAGTGCACTAATGATCTGCCTAAACTCCACTGTAAAAAGCTAGACTTTGAAGATATGAGTAATTCCAGTTTAAAGGAAATGGGCCTTATTTTTTATCATTTCTATTTATCTACAATGTCAAAGGGCTGAGAATGGGGAACACAATTACATCAGATAACTTTAATATGGTATATCTTCTGAGCTTAGGGATGATCGGAGCTACTCTTCTGTACAATACAGAACTGTTATGGTTGTTTACAACAGACACTTTTCACATTATTTTACGTGTGACTCACCTAGACTAACCTTATTGTGTGTTTCTTATTGCAATATCAACATGTTGAGTCACTAACTGTTTAAAATAAAAGTAAAAGGACAAATTCAATCATTACATTTGATATGCTTTATCAAGAGTGATTTTGATTGATTATGATTGAAAATGATGAATGCCTTGGAGTTATATGCAGGTCTTTTTTCACTTTGATCCTTTTGCAAGCACAACGCCCTCTGAAACCCCAAACAGGGCTCTCGTGGGCCCTGAGAAAGTAAAAAGGAGATGGAAGGGTCAGTCTAAAAAATGAAGTGGAGAAGGAAACGATAGGGAGCAGGAGGCGGTCATGCGGCGAGAATATGGAATGAGGAGGCAAGCAGTGGATGAGAGATTGTCTTCCATGATAAACTCTTATTCACAGAGCGAGAGAGAAAGAGAGACTTTATCTGTCCTTCCACTGCCTCTTGCTCACTGTATGCTATCTGGACCTGTTAAGTGCTGAATGCATTAGAAATGTGACTGGGGCAAATGTGATGGAGGGTTGGACAGAGGCAGTGAAGGAGGGACAGTGACAGGGCAAAGAGGGCACTGAAAGAGAGCGAAAGTGGGTCTAGATGTTATCACTGACCGGAGATAAGAGCGCTAATTATCAGTGACAAAGGCTGGGGGGTGACCACGCCTGTATTTGGATGGCTTTAGTTCAGGGTTCAATAAAAAAAACTAAGATTTAGGGAGATTTGGGTTTTTATCCCCAACAAAATGCTATCTTTGACATCTCCATCTTTACCTATGGTGAAGCAGCTTTTAGTGGAATTTAAGATTTGAAGAGGAAGGACGAAGAAGGTGAAAGAGATTTTGCTGAAAATTGGATGACCTATGTTATCAAGAGTCTTTGACAGGAGAGGAGATGAGAGACGGTGTTTTGAGGGCACGTTTGGATCTTGTGACCTCCAGAGGTCAAAGTCACGTCCTTTGACATTTGTTCTCAGAGCAGCTTCCTGCTGGGCTCTGATAAAGCTGTGTAAACATCCTAATCACCAACCACCATCAGCTACTATCCATTCCTACTTCATTCCTTCGCCCTGTTTTGTCAGCTTTGTAACTCTGCATAATATTCCTTTAAATCCTTATCATAGAACTGTTATTTTTCTGCACCTAATGACGTTAAAAGCAAGTCTTACACAGATAAGCGCAGACGAACAGGAGTGTGCTGTGATTGCCTCGGGGTGATAAACACAAGCAGATTAACATATCGTCGCAGGCTTGCTTCCAAACAATTTACAAGATCATAACAGCATCCGGACTGTGAACGCACCCTTGCTGAATCTTGACGAGGCTACAGGTAGTCCGTGTTAAGCGCACACGCACACACATCCACAAAATGAATAAAACATTTTGTAATTTACATGATGTATAGCTTAAAAATCTGCTTGCATCTTACGTTCAGATCTAATACTAATACCCACGAGAGTGAAGGATAGACAAAAAAAACAACTCAGTTTTCCTCATTTCACAATGCAATTGTAAAAAAAATCTAATAGAAAAGCTCTATGAATGTAAATTGAGCCTTTTGGGGGCAAAGTGATGTTACATATTGCAAAGTGAGGGAGGGGGAATCAAGTTAATATCAACCTGAGTGACATTACTATTACCATACAGTGTGTGACCGTGGGAGACGGAGGGCGGGAAAACATTTGCACTTGGCAAAGAACGGAGAGAGGACAATGGTACCCAACTAGCAGAAGCTACTCCCTTGGTCTTATTACATTAAAACACACACAGAGACAGTCAGGGGAACGCCTGTGTCAGCAAGTATCATGGAAATACACCAGAAGGTTTAAACTGGCTATTTAGAGTGAGCTTTATTCAGGCGCCAGTCGCCCAGCGGAAAGGATATTCTCCTGTCTAAAAGCCAGGAGCCAGTACATGTAAATGGATGCTAGCGTGTATGTGTGTATTACAATAATTAATTTAGACATTTAAAAAGGGAATGGCTTCTCAACTGTAGCTACCGTACACATCTATGGGCCCAATGACGTGTAACTAACACGCACATGGGGCTACTTTGTAATACACACATCGATTCAACTGAAAGCTACACCAAAGGATCAGGAGGCGCTACAACTTACATATCATCTGTCCATGAGGGTGCATGAACACACTTGTCATTCTTATCAGACAGAAAAAAACATGTTAATTTGGAGGGGTTTACAATTATAATGTTTTATGTATTTTCCTCACGTGCAAAGTACAGTCGCACAGAAAGACACGCTCATTTATTTAATAAGCATTCAACACACAACAAAACATGCATATGCAAAATATGCTAGCTTAGTGTACGAAATTATGTTTACATAAGATAAGACCTACAATAAATGAGATTAGTTCAGTAAACACGCACCTGTTTAGTGTTGTTGACACACTGTAGGTAAAGGGTTGCTATATTGGAGCAGTTGAGGGTTTTCCCGACGTTCTCCTTGTAGCACGCCAGGATCTGGCCCTGCAGGTCTGCACACACAGGGTACGTCTCATAGCGCCTGCGGGGGGGGAGAAGGGGAGAGAAATAGTGTGAAAACAGGGAAAATATGGTGTTAAAATTGAGGGCAGGGTGCTGCAAAAAAAAGTGTGATGGGATAAGGGTGGAGGGGAAGGATAAAAGCGTAAGAAAAGGCAGAGATAAATGTGTGAGTTAGAGTCAAGCGTGGACTTAAAATGAAGGGAAATGTGTAAGGATGGGCAATTCAGAAAGATTGACAGAATACGTATGAGCTATAGAAATAAAAAACAAGAGAAGAGGATTACAGACATATTATGGGCTTGGTGGATGGTCATTTATCTCAAGAGAGTCCATGCCCTAAAAAGGAGGTTGATCTGCGCTGCATGAAACACAAACTAACTCTGCAAATCAATGCATAATGCAGGGGAAACAACAAAGAGCATCGGTTTATTCTCAAGATGCAACAACCCTTAGTTGCTACAAAGTGCTGATGATAATGATGATGAGGTCGAAATTACCGGAAAGCTAAGTATACACTCCTTTAAATTAGTCTCTGTTCTTATGTCTTACCACTAAGAAACGCTTTAAAAAGGCCTCACGGACAAGAGTATTGATCCCCTACTGGCTAGTAGTAAATCCATCCATTGATTCAGAAAGGCTGCCTGAAAGAGTGAACCATTTACAGACTGCATTGCTGTCACCTTGGAGTGGTCTAAATGGCAAATTCAATCTTTCAGCTTCCACAAGGAGGTTGTTGTTGTATATTGTGAATGCTAATATGTCTGCTTACAAGCCACACATCACTAGCTTAGCACGCCCAGGTCTGTCCTTGAGGTCTGTTACAGCTTCAGTGCTGCAGTCTTAGCTGATCCAGCTGCTGGCCCTTCTTATGGGAAATGCAACGCTAAACTTCAGTGCATTTAAATGGGACTCTTATGTTATATCTATGCAATAGTTGGATCCTTTATCTAATCTAAGTAGTGGGATGTACCACCAGCGCTGGTGCCTACCCCAGTGTTAACTGCTTTTGTCTGTCTCTTCCCACACCGCATAAAAATCCATAATGACGACACATGTGCATGCTAGGGCTATTATGCTAATGGCGGTGTCATCGTTTTGTTCACACCAGTGCTCAGGACACTCCATCTGCCTCACTAAACGGAGCGCATGGGTGTGAAAGAGAAAGGGAATTTGCCCGTCAGCAACTCCGGAGATCTCAAAGGAATATTGGGGGTGAATCCGAGCCCCTGTAGTCAGAATCAGATGTTTGATTTGCCCCCTGGAGTGAGAAATTACCCTCCCGTTGGATACAAAGCAGGAGATTGGTAGCATGGGTCATTACCCAGGGTGCAATGCAGCAGGAAGCGGGTGCAGTGTGTGCATGTGTACATATGTGCATCACCACATGGTCATATTTGTTAAGGGGGCCGGAAAAATCGATAGTCCTTGTAAATGCATGTTAGTGGCAAATTGGATGTGCTCTCCATATTTTCAACTGTAATGTGATGAATCAATATACCTTATCATTCCCCATCAAAAACAATGCTCAGAGGCAAACAGAGTAACACATATTATATCTGGAGCTAGTAAGGAACACTTCAAAAGGTAGAAATGGTTAATTGGGACACACTCTTGTTGGCTTTTTGCTTACATGAGGAGATCAATATCACTCTTCTAAATCTGAAGCTACATCAGCTTAGTTTAGTCTCAGACTGGGACCAATGTGATCCTTAAGGTCCTTAAATGTGCAGCTCCACTAACATGGAACAGTCTGCAAAAAGAATGGAAAATAACCAAGCTAGTACCACTACATGTTTTTAAAGCTCGGTTGGATGCTACAAAATCAGATGCTGCTGGTACCTGTCCATGTGGATAGATATTTCAATTGTAATCCCTGTACATTTTGCTGTATGATGTCCTTTTGTTTTTCTGTTGTTTATGTTTTTATGTTTTCATGTGGAACCTACTGCTGCAGGTCTCCCTTGAAAAAGAGATCATTGATCTCAATGGGATTTTACCTGGATAAATAAAGGTTTTGAAAGGTCGCTGGTAGACTAATTTTCTCACCTATCGACAGAGCCGTATACATGTAAGGCTTTTCTAAATATGTTGTGGTTGTACAGTAACTACTTTGTTTACTGTAGAGACATTAGAGTGATATCCGTCTTCTCATCTAACCCTCAGTAAGAAAGTGAAAAAGCATATTTCCCCAAAAGTTGTTTGATTCCTCGTTATGTCTTATCACTTTGAGCGCAGACTGGAACATAACGCTGTTGGGTGTGTGGATAAGGTTCTGCATTTGCTGATCCATTGGGGAGAAATTCAGTCATTTGCTAGGAGGCATGACAAGGCCATTGCTCTGCGTCGGGGTATTGAACGATGACAGCAGTGCTAGCAGAAATCGCTGCCATCCTATTCCTATGGATCCTGGCACTCATTCATTACACCGCCTATGGGCATCTACAGGGACGAGCGGAGCCACATACACCCACTAATTACTTTCTTAAGCGTTCGCGTTAATACCAGGTGCATCCTGCTGATACAAACCACAGTGTTTATCACCAGTAATGGCCTCAGAGAGAGAAAAGAGGACAGAGGAAGGGAGGGAGAGGAAGAGGGTGAGGGGGGTTGATAGAAAGAGCATTTCTTGATGAGGAAGAAGACAGTGGTACTTCTATTTTTGCTTTCTCTCTGCAGGAAGACACTGGTTGAGTTTATCATGGAGACAATAACACTGTCACATACACTCTGTGGCGGCACGCTGCATCCTCTATCATCTATCATTAAGATTAACATTAAATTCCTGCAGCCAACCACAACCACAGAGCTGCTGGGGAATGACTGCAGCCCCCCCCCCCAAGATCTCAGGTCAGTAACACATGTCATTAACTATAGTGTTAAGGCTGTAGTGCTATGCAGCAGGGTGAGCAGATGCAAACACGATATGCATGTCATTTCAGGTTATACACCACAACCACTACAACATGACCCCTTCGTTTACCCTAAATTCATGAAATGTACCAGTGTTTTGTTTTTCAAATCAGTTATCAAGCCTTAGTTATCTGAATACAAATAAGTGAAAGACTCAGTTTTAGGCAATCTTGTTTTCTTCTAGTGTACAGAACAGCAAGTCAGGGCAATATACATATCAACAGCAAAAAGCTGGAACTGAATACACATCGGATTATTCTACTGTGGGAATCATAGTGTGTGCTTAATAAATAAATTCAAAAACATCAATCATCCAGTTCCTGTAACCTGAGGAGTAAGGCGTTCATAAACATCAAGACTGTATCACTCCAGAAGCAAAACCAATTTTTCTTTTTTTTTTAAATAGCTATATTTAAATGATTTACAGGAAATGAAAAAGAAAGCTAGAGGCATTTTGACATTTTTTCCAGCCCTGGTTTGGTCTTAAGTTAGATTCCTGTGAACACGTTGTGATGTATTTGAGTCTGTTATTGGTAGAGAAGGACTCCATGATCACAGAGAAAAAGGCTGAAAAACAGAATTATATTATGGCAGAGCTCATCTCTTTCTTATTTCCTGACCCCTGCTATTAATCTCATGACCCAACATAGGGATATAAGCCCTGCTGGTGACACTCCCGCTGCGTATAGATTATTGTACAGCTCTAAAGATTGCCAATCAATTCCTCCACACTTTGTCTCTCCCATTTTACCATCTCTATCTTCCCTCCCTTATCCCCAAGAGGTTCATGGGATATTTAATAAAACTGCATGTAGCAGGAGACACTGAAACAAATAGAGACATCCAGTCAGATATAACTGTTTATTATTTTCCCTATATGTGTTTATGTGTGTGTGTGCTGCACCCCTGTACCCCAGAGACAGTCAATCTAAACAGTCATATAGGGGTCTCGCCTCATGCCATCTGTAGAAGTAAAGATCTCTATAACAACACCTTATGAACCCCACCCCCACCACACACATATATACCAAGTAAATCCCTATTGCTTTGATCCGCTGATAGGAATGAAATGGCGGTTGCTTTAGATATGTACTTTACAGGTACTCTGCAACATAAATAACAAAAGGAAGGAAGGGAGACAACAAGAAAGAGAAGAACAAGGACAGAGAGGCAGATATGAGTAAGACTGGACTTCAATCTGTATATTTTAAATTTAGATGTCATTTAATATGCTATTCCTTGCACACTTATCCTACTTTTAAATGTGGTTAGCTGTCATTTTGCCCTTGTTTATATGATAAATAGTCTTTCACTGTCAAAATGTGCATATTTTACTTTTTAGTTATGTTTTATTTTCCATCTTGAGATGTTTGTATTTTATGTTACTTTATTTTCTACTCTTTATTTTCACATTATGTGCAATGCCTTTTACATCAATAAAGCAAATATGATCTTATCTTAAGAAAGAGAGGTGTTTTTGTGAGAAAGACTGCAGAAAATCTTAGAAAAAAAGAGCGATATAGGAGAAGCAGACGAAGAGCCTCTGCGAAACACTCTCTAGGCACTCTGCTCACTTCCTTTGTGAAGTTCTCCTTAAGGAGGGAACAGGAAACGAGGTTGAGAGGAGGGGCAGAAATGATATGAGAGGGTGAACGTGTCCCATTTAACATGTAATAAGGCAGAACAGATTACCTGCTCACTCCCTCTCACTGTCTCCCTCCCTCCTCAAGGTGTCCCTATATCATTTAATACAATCCCTTCTTTCAAGCCCCCCGCTGCACGACTCAGCACATTTCCATATTCCGATAGCTTTATGGCTACAGCTCCATTTGTCAAAGAATGTATTGACTGCAAGTTGGGGGACGACTGTATTGAGATCGATGTTGGGATTTTCATACAATATGCATGTGTTATGCCAATAAACTGGGCAAGGGACAGTGTCAGTACATTTTTCACACTAACCTATATTGACCATGACTACCATCTGCTGTGACAATGTAGAGCTAGTGCAGTGAAATGACATTCATAGATCTCCGTTAGGGGAAAACATGCTTCAATAGTTGAACAAAGTGTGAGGCACATCTGGAAACATGTACGCTCATCTGTCAT